AATGAGAAATAATCACAGTATTTCATGCTTGTGTCTAACTTTATATTGTTAAAGCAGGGACACCTGCGTGGCTCAGTGGGTTAAAGCCTCTGCCTTCGGCTCAGGTCCTGATCCCAGGGTCCTGGGATCAAGCCCCACATCGGGCTCTCTGCTCAGCAGGGAGCCTGCTTCCCCCTCTCTCTGCCTGCCTCTCTGCCTACTTGTGATCTCTGTCTACCAAATAAATAAATAAAATCTTAAAAAAATATATATTGTCAAAGCATTTTCATACATGTCATCTGATTAAAATTTCAGCCTAGAACCAAGGTTATCAAGAGTATCATTTTCTCTGATGGTAAATAAGGTCTTACAAAACAACAAATCAATGTGATATGGATTCACACATGTATTCTTTCATTAGAAGAGACAATAAAAACTTTCAATATACCAGGAACAGAAGACAAAAATGGCAGAGTATTCTGCAGGCATGAAATATTTCCTGCTAAGTCACTTGTGAATATTTTATATGAGTTTTAACAGTTTATTCTTTTAAAGACTTTTTTATTTATTTGGGAAAGAGAGAGAGGGAGACCATGGGTGGGGGAAAGGGTAGAGGGAGAGAGAGAAGCTGGCTCCCCACTGAGCACGGAGCTAGACATAACATTGGGCTCCATCCTGGGACTATGAGAAATATAAAAGCAATTCAAAGCCATCATTAAAAGAACACACACGGTTATCTCTGAAAAAACTTGAACTCCAAGGATTATGAGGTTAGGACATAACTGAATTGTTTGTGGGAATCAGAAGAGCCACTAAATTATATTGAGATTAATAACAAATATCCTGATGTTTTACCTTAAAATGAAGGAGAAGTGAGAAACGTTCATGGTATAAGGATAGATATCACCTTCTGTATTATTCCACCCCTTGAAAATACCATCCTGCTTCCATGAAAGATCTTTTTAAAGAATTATTTCAGACTTAAGTCTCCTCTCCTCCCCAGTTTCGCTGCTTCTGACTTCTTACTCTCTCCTTTTACTTTCCTAAGGGGTTGGAGGAAGGAGAGGGAATGAGCATCTAAAGCTTGGAAGATTCATATTCTACTTACTATTTTATAAGCTCATTGAAGATTAATTTGTTTAACTTAAAAGATTAATTTATTTTTCTGGACTTTGGAAAACTAGAGAGTTCATTTACTTAAACCTTCAAAACAGTACTCTCTGTTTACTGTTTAATAAATATCACACCCTGGGTTATATGTCATCTTGGTCTCTAAATAGAGTTGAAAGAGAGAGGAGGGATGAAAAGGAGGGAGAAGAAGGTCAGAAGAGTCTAAGGGAGTATGGACAGGCAGATAGTGCCCAAATCCCCTCAACTTTAGGCGCAGTGTTTCTTTCCCATCAGGGCTTTTCTGGGTGCTGTTTCCTTCTGTCCACTACAACTCTTAGTTAGAGAGGGATAGTGAAGGAAACCAGTTCCTACTTTCTATGTACCTATAATTAGGTTTTAATAGTAATATGACAGATGTTTGCACTGAATAATTTCTAATATGCGAGATTTTTGCCTTAGAGAGATATATCTTTGGGAACCATAAACACTGCAAATCATTACCATCACATTTTATCGATGAGGACACTGGGCTCAGACAGATGAGTCATTTGTGATCCATGCAATTGGTGACCCAACCCCAATCTGAACAGAATGAACAGACTCCCAAACCAGTTGTACATAATATTCCACCTCTGTTGTCTTACCCGGAGGAGTGTCTGGGACCACGGAGGAAGGGGTGAAGCCATGATGGCAGGTTCATTGGGTTGGGATATCTAGGGCCTTGCCATATTAGAGCATTAAAATTATGCCATTTAGGTGTTTGCCTACTTAGTCTTACACTAGGCCAACACAAAAGCCCAGATTTTAAAAAAAAATCAGAAGTTATCTTTTTGGCATAGATAAGAATATGGGTAAAGGAAACGATCACTATCATGAGCTAAAACTATAGGTATAATATCGTAGAGAAGATTATAGCTTAGGTTCATTGGATTTGTATTAAGCTACCACTGAAAAAATATGGCAAGTCAAACAGATTGAGGCGTATATATTAAACAAAAAAAGGATCCTTCAGAAAGGTGGGTGGGGGATGGATGAAATAAGTGATAGGGTTTAAGAATACTCTCGTCATGATGGGCACAGGGTGGTGTATGGAAGTGTCAAATCACTCTACCGTACACCTGAAACTAATAGAAGCCTGTATGTTATCTACACTGCAATAAAAATAACAAACTTAATTTAAAAAAAGATCCCTGAGAGACTGAAGAAGAAGGTATAATAAAACAGACAAGGGGGGAAAAACCAAAAACAAAACCAATAATCCCCTCCTCCCAGAAAAACTAGATTATAAAACGAAATCACCCAAATACAGCTTTCAGGAAGTGGTTTTTCACTGGTTTTCCTTAGAGAACAGTTCAGGGATTTCAAGTGGAATATTTGAAAGTTCTCTACATACATTGTGCTTTTAATTTTTAACAATCTACAATGCAAAATATTATCATTATTCCAAAATATTATTTTTAAAACTTTTAAAAAAGATTTTATTTATTTATTTGACAGAGAGAGATCACAAGTAGGCAGGGAGGCAGGCAGAGAGAGAGAGAGAGAGGAGAAAGCAGACTCTCCATGGAGCAGAGAGCCCGATGCATGCGGGGCTTGATCCCAGGACCCTGGGATCATGACCTCCAAGGAAGGCAGAAGCTTTAACCCACTGAGCCTCTCAGGTTCCCCAAAATACTATGTTTTATAGAGCTTTCCACCCTTCCTGTCTCTTTTCATTCACTCACTCTTAGGGAATTAAAGAATGTTAATGACCACTAGGACGTTTTCCTGTGCTACTGAGTGCCTTAAAGCAACAGGATGGAGAATGCAGGCTGACCTAGAATGAATACATTCTGAAATTTTCCCTTCTGCCACATGTGTGTCTGCTTATGTGTTGTGTCCCAGAAATAACCACTAGCTTATATTGTCCTGTCCAGAGGCGGGAAGGTGTGTTCCAGCTGGAGGCCGCTCTGTGTGGGAGGAGATGCTTGTTGCAAAGACCTTCCAAAGGAATCCACTCAAGCGTCATACCAGATTTGGGAGGGCTGGTTTTACCTGCCTAAAGCTGGCACACGAAACATGCCATCAAGAAACCCCTTGTCTGGGGAGAGTGGGGATACCAGTCCTCCCTGGTGACTTTGGTGCAGTTTTGACCCACTCTTTCCTTAGTAACAGCTCAGCTTAAAATCTAAAGCCTTGAGACACACCCCAGTTCCCCAAATGAGGCCACAGAAAGGTCAGACTCTCCCAAAGTTTGTAGTTGGATCAGAGATTTACCTTCCTCCATGAGTGAATGAATTGAGAGAGAGAGAGAGAGAGAGATGAGGAAGAGGAGGAGGAAGAAGAAAGGAAAAAAGGGAGAGGGGGTAGGTAGAAAGGAAGGAAGGATAAAGGAAGTGGCTTGACCTTGAGATTTCAGTGCCAGGAAATTGGGAAGCAATATTCTCCAGAATACATATTTTATTTCTGGCATTAAATTACACTCGTTCATACTCTAGTGGCCTGAAAAAGTTAATTTACCATTTGAATGGCATGAACGATGAACACTTACATCAAGTCCGGGCACTTTATGATACCCAACAAACATTTAGACTTACTTATTTATTTATTTATTTATTTATTTATTTGTTGTCTAGGTGTGCTTTATTTTTTATTAGTATCTATGGAAAAAGAAGACAGTGATGTTCTGCTGCGGAGAGCAGGACAGCTCCTTGATAGGGTACCATCTCAGAGAGAAAGATACTTTAGCATGGGGCACTGGAGGGAGGAGAGAATATCAGAAAAGAAAAGGGAGAGGAGGGGAGATGATGTCAAATCCCTTGCCTTCTCTGCACCTGCCCTTTTTATTTGGAATGTAGTAACCTTCTATCCCACAACCTTAGATTTCTCTAAACCCCATGCTTACCATATCAATGTTTTATGAGCTGTCATGTGAGGGTTAGAACGGGATTCGCGAAATTAACCGCTGATTTTTTATTCTCCTGGATGGATCAGTTGCCTGGGGCACTAAAATAATATGAATTGGTTTTGAAATGAAATGTCACTTGTGGAAGAAAAGTGCATCATAATTTGTTTAACTTAAACAATGGGGAGGAAGGGACAGATATTTGAACTGCATTTCGTATGCTAATGAATGTTTATTGGACTTTTGGATACTATATAAATACAAGTCTGGACTGGGGTGGGGTGGGGGTAGGGTGGGGGGTGTGATCACATAGTGATCTTGCAAGAGGCATATGGACCAGTATGAAAACAGCTGTACCCTTTAGTTATTTTAGAGGCAGATATATTAATCACATAAGGTAACATTGGATGTTGCTTCTCATCTTTGAAAGCTGCGAGGGTGCCCTTGTGTTCCAGAAAATGCTTGGTGCAGAGCCCTTGCATCCCACCTCTCCATGAAGAGGAGGTGCGATGAAGGAGAGAGAGTGCTTGGCAAGCCACAGGCAAAATGCATTCTCCTTATTTTTAGAGAACCAATGAAGTACATGAGCTTTTGAAATAAAGGAGAATGCAATGGATCAAGGAGTAAATGGATACATAAGAAAACAAATGAAATTGCTAACGTAGCTCTTGGGGAGCTAAACTCCCAGATGTGCAACAAATGATGTAGGTAAAGGAAAGTCCTGTAAGTTGTCAAAGCCCTAAGGTTAATCACACTGAATGGTGGCTCCGGTCCCTCGGAGACACCAACAGTTGGTCGAAATAAGGGAAGCTAGAATTCAGGGCACGCGTGGGGCTTGAGGCTCTCCCAGCGCCTTGCGGGAGCTTAGAGGAGCTTAGAGCCCGAAGCACCGCCCGCTGGCCCGGCCCCTCACCGCCCTCGGGGGTGTTCGCTCCGCTACCTAAGTACCTGGCTCGGTCCCCAAAGGGGAGGGAAGCGGAGAGTCAGGTGCGACCCAGCAGGGGGAGCGGGTGAGCTGGCCCGAGGGCAGCTCGAGCCGGTCCTTGAGTGTGGGTGTGGGTGTGGGGCAACTTGGGTGGGAGCAGCGTGGAGGCTACCCCGACGGAGTCCCGCGCCCCGAGGCTGGGGTGTGTGCAGGAAGAGCGAGGATAAATAGGAGGCTCCCTCCGCCCGGGCTGCACTCCCGGAGCCGCCCGCGCCCCGGGTGTTGCCTGCCCAGGCCCGGGTGCCCGGCTGAGAAGTAGTTTCGTTTCCGGCTGGCCAGAGAGAGTGGTTTCCAGGCCCGCCCTCGGGCGCCCGCGGCCGGGGAAGGGGCGCAGGAGGAGGGGGACTCGTCCAGGGGCTGCCCGGCCCCGCAGCGCGGGGTTGATGGACCGGGCCGCCCCGGGCAGCGGCGCCGGCTCCCTGCCACTGCTCCTGGCCCTCGCCCTGGGTAAGTGGCGCGCCGGACGCCGGAGCCCCCGCAGGAAAGTCGGCGGCGGAGTGGCAGGGAGCGCGAACCTGCTCCGCGCGCACGTCTGGGCCCCCAGGACGCGCTGGGGGCTGTCGGGGCCCAGGCGGAGCTCTCTGACCCCTGGGCGAGCGCGAGGAGCTGGTTTCGGCTCTTGGCACCTAGGGCTGCACCTGTTGGGGCTGCCCGAGGGCGGGCGGGATCCCGCGGCCCCGCTGCTGGCACAGGTGCCCGCGAGTGAGGGGGCAGCAGGGGAGCCCACCGACGGAGGAGGGGGCAGGGGAGCCTGGACCGAGAAGGACAGCTGGGGGAGGCAGAAGGGAGGAAACCGGCGGCTGAAGATGGGCCCCGGGAGTGCCGAGGATGGTGGAGAGCAATTGGCGGGTGTGTGTGGGCCTTGGGTGTTCGAGAGATAGGGGGGCGACTCTTAGAGGGGCAGGAATGGATTAAGACCCCCGGCCCTTGTGAGGACAGTGGGGAGGAGCCGGAGGAGAGTGGAAGACAACTCCTGCGACCTTAGTCCCGGGCTGCTGAGAGGGAAGGGGAAATGGCCTGTTTCACGGAGCGCACTATCTAAGCAGTGCGGAGTTTTACTTGGAACTTCTTCTTTCCTATTTTGGGATGACATGGGAGAGAGAAAACTTTCCTTCACTGAGAAAAAGTACACTTGGGCTGTTCGGTTTGGGAGCTCTGGGTGCGGTCCGGCCCGAGGGCGGAGTGGGGGGCTGGAGGAGCAGGACCCCTGGACCCGCTAGAGGCTGGCCTCGCTTCCTCAGGAGGCGGTGTTGGCAGAGCGCGGGACGGAAAGTGCCGGGGACAGTTCTTGCAGGTGGATGTGGGAAGGGACCGAGGAAGGCATGCAGGTGGGCACATCCTATTACATCAAGACATCCCTTCTACATCATGATCATTTTGAGGCAGGGAGGGGAAGGGAGAAGCAATATTTTGTAGTTTTAGCTGGGCTGAGGGTAGGGGCACCTGAGCTTGGGGGGTTGATGTGGGAGCAGGGGGGGTCTCCACAGCTTTAAGTGTCTCCATGATATCTCCTCTACCTTCAAGCCTGGGAACGACTGGATTTATCCCGTGGTGGGGAAAGAGGTGGAAAGTTTGTGGACACTTTCATCTGGCTTTGGGCCTTGCAGTAGGAGAGGTGGCTAAAAGGTGTCATGACCTTGGTTGGAAGCAGATCTGACTTAGGGCCATAGTTACAGAGAATGGACTGATTGAAGGAACCCAGCAGAGAAAGAAGTGAGTGACAACTAGTAGGGGCATCACGTGGAGTCTGAGAAAGAACCATAGGTAGAGAGCCTTAGGTCCAGAGACAGTGCTGATGCTCTGGGCTACATTGCTGGGAGGAAGCAGCCGTTTTCTTCCTCCACCTCGTCTGGATTTTCCAACAAAGTATTGATTGAAAATCTGCTCTAGTCAGCAAGATGTTAGAGCATATGAGAATAGGGCTGGGAAGAGGGCTCAAGAGATTCCTAGACATGAGGCCTGCCTGAAGGATGTTATGCTGAGGTCCCCCTGGGGGGGCTCAGTTGGTTAAGCCTTTGCCTTTGGCTCAGGTCATGATCTCCGGGGTCCTGAGGTGGAGCCCTGTGTCAGGATCCCTGCTCAGCGGGGAGTCTGCTTCTGCCTCTCCCCTCCACTCCTGCTCTCTCTCGCCCAAATGAATAAAATCTTTAAAAAAAAAAAAAAGATGTTATTCTGAAGTTAGGAATGCAAGACTAACCAATATGAAACAGTAAGAGCAACATTCATAAAACCAGACAGAGAAGGGCTAGCTCACCAGGGAGAATGGAGCAGCGGGAAAAGTTGCATGAAGGACATGAGTGGGTGCCTTGACGCTTGGGTAGGATTTGAAATAGGCAGGACAGTCCAAAGATACAGGGTGCAGTGTGGGGTGAGGGGATGGAGTTGGGGGCCAGAGGACCTGATGGTCTCAGATATAATCCATGGACTAAGAATAATTAAGGCCTAGATAAGGGCACTGTGGCAGCAGAAATGTTGTGGTAGAAGTGATGATTCCAGGTTGATAGATATCCTTTCCCCTTTACTATCACGTAATACTTTATGTTTTTCTCAAACCTTGTCACAAGGCAGAAAGGAAAAGACAAAACAAAACTCCAACCCAGTTCCGTGGCACACTCAGGGTAACCTGATTGGGCAACTGCCCTGTTGAATGTTTGGCTTAGGGAACTGAATTCAGTCTCCAGATCTCCTAAGAGCCCCACTGCAGGCAAAATCCCAAAGGATGTAATCTGTTGGCATCAGTGGTCCCATAAAGTGGTTCTATTTCTCTCACACGCACTTGACTTTTCAGTCTCATTCCTAAGTTAAATCACATGTTAAATGTTAGTTACTTTTTGAAGAAAATGTGAGCAATGTACTGTGTGATGCACTAATGTGTGCGTGTGTGTGTGTTTGTGTGTGTGACGGGGGAGGGGTTCAGTGGGAGAGGGGAGTGCCTGGAGATCAGGCATGGAGCAGACATGAGACCTGGTTCCAGCTCTGCCATTCTGTGACTGAGATGTCCAATTTCTGAACATTATTTCTCTCATTTGTAAAATGAAGGAGCTGCTTCAGATGAGCCCAAGGCCCTCAGCAACTTGACATTGTACTCATCTTTAACTAACATTTCCACTGGGAAGTTCAACAGAAATTTTTGAGCACTATATAACTTTCATTTACTTTGTAATGGGATCTTTGTTTCATGCAGAATTTATCATAATAGAGAGAACCATGGATTCTTATTTCTTTGAGAAATATGGTAACGACGCAATAACTTTGGGGCCCCTGGGTGGCTCAGCTGGTTAGGCTGATTTCAGCTCAGGTCATGATCTCACTGTTGTGAGACCTAGCCTAGCTTCCTGTTCCAGGCTCAGCAGGGACTCTGCTTGAGATTTTCTCTCCCTCAACCTCTGCCCCTCTCCCAGGTCCCGCACACTTGCCTGTTCTCTCTCTCTCTCTCTCTTTAGGGGCGCCTGGGTGGCTCAGTCAGCATCTGCCTTTGGCTCAGGTCATAATCCTGGGGTCCTGGATCCAGCCCAGCATCAGGTTCTCTGCTCAGTAGGGAGTCTGCTTCTCCCTCTGCTTCTGTCTCTACCCTCTGCTCCTGCTCTAATGAATAAATAAAATCTTAAACAAATAAGCAAATAAATCTCTAAAAGAGGCAATAACTTTGCTTAAAGTATCTTTTTTTTCTATCTCAAAGAAATCAGATTATCTTTTTTGATTCTGTATTAAATTTCTCCCTCTCACCCAGTGGCAGTATAAAACTAAAATGGAAATCATAACCAGTGAAAAAGGTAAAAAAGTGCTACCTTTTAAAAAATGAGTGAGTTTTAAGACTAAAAATATATTCCCCTCCTCATTAAAATTGAAAACATTAATATTGGGGTGCCTGAGTGGCTCAGTGGGTTAAAGCCTCTGCCTTTGGCTCAGGTCATGATCCCAAGCCTGCTTCCCTTCCTCTCTCTCTGCCTACTTGTGATCTCTGTCTGTCAAATAAATAAATAAAGTCTTTGAAAAAAAAATTTAATATTTGCGGGTCGGTTTAAGTTCTGCCTGAGAATACGAGTGTAATCATACTACGAGTCTAGCTTCCAAGTCACCAAGAAGGTGGGTGACAGCAAGTAAAATTCCCATTGTACAAATGAAGTAACTGAAACCCCAAAAGCTGAACGATTTTAGGCTATGCCTCTCCAGTTATACTTCTGGCTTAGAAGAACATTAGGAGTGTTTTTTCCCTCTTCAAAATCCCAGGTTTTGCACTTAAGCAGCTGCTACAAATTGATTTTTGCTTTTTCTCCATTCTCAGTTGTTGTGTGGAAATTCCCAAATAATCCTGGAAGATCCCACCGCTTGCAAGCATGCCTTGTTACACCCAGCTGAAGGTGCCCCTGTGGATGCTTTGGTCTGCCCATGTCTGTGCTGAAGTCAAAGGCCCTGAGGACAGACAGTCCCCATGTCTGTCCCTGGGTCTCTGCAGACACTGCTCACCCTAGTGTCTGGGTGCCCGTGAGTCCTCAGAGAGCCCAGTGCAAGAACCTCATCTTGTTTTTTTCCACCCTTTTATTGTAGTTGGCTCATGCTGGGACACAGACATGAGTGTCATGAGGAGGACAGTCGGGGGGACAGTCAGAGGGACAGGCAACACGCTCTACTTTTAATCAGCTCTATGAACAATGGGCCATACTTGTAAACTCTCCATTAGGATTAGCAACTTCCAGGAGGAAGGGTCCAGGCTGCATGCAGTTAAGCCTAAGCCATGATCTTGAAACCCTTCCAAAATTACCATGACGGCTCCCTGGATCCACAAAGAATCTGTGGGTGGGTGGGGGGAGCAGTCGGGATCAGGAGGGCACCAAAGTAAAATGTAAGAAGAAAGCAATCTGATTAAAATGGGTATGCTTTGTAATACTATTATTAGCTAGTCTTCCCAGACATATTTTTATCTTAAGGAAGGAAATTTGGTAGCTTAAATGAATCTCTAATTGTTAAATTTAAAGAAATGAGAGGGTTTTTTTTTTTTTTAATGGTTGGAGAGGGTGTATTTAATCTTAATTCAGATCACTTAGGCAATAACCTACTTTCAATATCAGCGAGGTAAATTCCAATAGCCACGGAGTACTTTTCTTCATTCTTTACTTTTTTTTGAGGATATGTAGTATATTATTTACTTGACTGGGAGAGTAAAGGCATGGATTCCAAAATGGTGATGAAAAGTGTAACCAAACTATAACAATGTTTGTGTTCAGCCTTTTTTCAGTTTAAAAGTGCCTGAGTTGATAGTATAACAGGATGAGTTATTAATTTAATATTTCCCTCACTGCAAAGCCTTGGATTTATTCATTCATTTAGCCTTATTTAGTTTTTTGGCTGGGGGATGCACAAAGAGTGCCTGGCACATAGTAGGACCTCAAAAGCTATTAGTTAATTGACTGAATGAATGTAAATTTTTTACAGTATTCAGTCATTAA